CCCCCCCCCCCCCCCCCCATGCACGAATTTTCATGCACGGGGCCTCTAGTATAGAAATAATTTACTGTTTCATAAGTTCAAACTGAGATCACTTCACAAACATTTTTGTGTTCCTGTCCATTTAATAATCAAAAGTTCTTCCCTTCCAAATATGTAGTATATATAGAATTTTAAATAGCAAGAGAGAATTGGGAAGACTCCAGCTTTTGTCTTGCTTTTGAGAATTCACCTTAAAGTCATATACTCACTTTTTTCCATCTGTTTTCTAATTCTCAAACTCCTCTCAAAAAAGAAAGAAACAGCTCTGGCTGGCATTACTAAGTGTGGTTAGAGCATCGGTACTTGCACTGAATGGTCTAAAGTTCGATTCTGGTCAAGAGCACGTTCCTGGGTTGCAGGTTTGATCCCTGGTCCCGGTTGAGGCGAGTGCAAGAGAAAACCAATGGATGTGTCTCTCTCACATTGATATTTCTTTCTCTTTCTCACTCCCCTCTTCCCTCCTTCTACTCTCTAAAATTCAATGGGAAAAAGTCTTTGGGTGAAGATTTAAAAAAAAATAGAGAAACACAAACCAGAATAAAGGATTCAGAGCTCTGAAGGAAGAAAGTGTAGATAGATAAACCACCTTTTCACTGTTTTTGTTTTACTACTTAGGTGTAAGCTGTTTAGTTCTGTATCAGAAGAGTCAGCATTGGATCATTATTTCAAAAAATATTTTTCATATTTATAATAAAATTTTTAACAAAATGAGGCATGTATACGTATCTTACAAATATTCAGTTGTTTCCCATGCCATAAATGTTTTGTTTTAAAAGAAGCCATAGCCCTGGCCAGGTGGCTCAATTGGTTGGAGCATTGTCCCTATAATAATAAAAAGTCATGTATTCAGTTTCCATTCAGGGCACTGATTCCCACTAAGTTAGGTTGTGGGTTCAATCCCCATTTGGGGCACATAAGGGAAGGCAGCCAATTGGGAGGCAACCAATTGATGTTTCTCTCTCACATAAATGTTTCTCACTCTCTTCCCTTCTCTTTATCCCTCCCTCTTTTTCTCTCTTCCCCCCTCTCTCCCTTCCTCCCTCTCACTCTCCTTCTCCCTTCCTCTCTATCTCAAATCAATAACCATATCCTCAGACGAGGATAAAAAAATAAAAGAAGTGATAATTCATAGTTAGGAATTAAATTTGATGTAGTCAAAGGGATCATAAGAGACTGTTCTCACATTAGTTAATTTACCTTTGTTGCATTCTGGAAAAGGTATTAGAATGGAACTTTCTGTGATTCTAGAGATTGTTGGGGCTCATGGTTCTTGGCCAAAAAGATACTCTTGGGAGTTGCTCTCTATTCACCCACCTGTGCTAGAAACACAGTGGATCTCGATGTCAATTACTCTATAGCAGGGGTGGGCAAACTTTTTGACTCGAGGGCCACAATGGGTTCTTAAACTGGACCGGAGGGCCGGAACAAAAGCATGGATGGAGTGTTTGTGTGAACTAATATAAATTCAAAGTAAACATCATTACATAAACGGGTACGGTCTTTTTTTTTTTTTAGTTTTATTCATTTCAAACGGGCCTGATCCGGCCCGCGGGCCGTAGTTTGCCCACGGCTGCTCTATAGTCACCAAGTACTGCCGAGTTACTTACAATTGAGGACGAAAGGGGTAAACAATGACAATAACAACAACAAAACAAAAATACAAAAGCAAATGCCTACTTAAGTTTCAAAATATGGAAATTGATGAGTTTTTCGTATATCAACTCGAGCACTAAAAATAAATTAAATATAGACTATTCCTGGTAGAAAATATTATTATGTCAAGTTTTAAAAATCATGAGACGTTGGTTGCAGTTTTATTTTTATTTATTTATTTATTTTATTGATTTTTTTATGGAGAGGGATGAGAGTTAGAAACATTGATGAGAAAGAAACATCGATCAGCTGCCTCCCACTGGAGGCAGCTGTATGCCCGCAACCAAGGTACATGCCCTTGACCGGAATTGAACCTGGGACCCCTCAGTTCACAGGCCGACGCTCTATCCACTGAGCCAAGCCGGTCAGGGCCGTTGGTTGCAGTTTTAAACTCATCCACATACACATCACTATAGCTATAAAAGTTAAAAATACTGCTGTGTTATATGAACAAATTTAATTATGTTAACATTTCCTTTATTATTGCCATATTTGTGAAATTTATAAATATCCGGGGAAACTTGGAGAACAAAAGAAATTTCCCTGGCCAGTGGGGCTTAGTCATTGAGCATTGACCCATGAACCCAATTCGATTCCTGGTCAGGGCACATTCCCAGGTTGAGGGCTTGATCCCCCAGGAGGGGGCATGCAGAAGGCAAACCA